ATATCTCCTGCCCTTTCCTCTGTCCCCTCCAACGTGTTCCATATACCCTTTCCTAAATTCTCAATCTCTCCTTTAATTATTATTGTTACATTTACACACACAAACAGACACATACACATATACACACACAATATGAACACATACTGAGCTCCTATGTTCATGTGTCTGTGGATAACCACTTGTGATCAGACAACCTGTGTGAGAGCACGTCCCTGCAGGAAATTATTACTTTTCAGCAGCTACTGACCACCTATATCTCTTCATCTATTGGTGGCACCATGTGGAATTTTCCTTGTCCACCTTGGTGTGTTAGCTGGTATTATTATTATTATTATTATTATTATTATTATTATTATTATTATTATGCATGTCCTGTTCAGGCAACTGATTGTTGAGAGTTCATGAATATACTTTTCCTTTGTCATGTTTTTAGTAATAATAGATGACCACATGGCCCCTGACTTTTAAATTCTTTCTACCCTCTCTTCTGTGATTTTCCTTTAGTCATAGGCATAGGGTTTGCTTGTAGATTATGTTAGGTTTAGGCACCCCATAGACACTTACTTGCATTTTGACCAGTTATGGATCTCTGTGATAGTCTTCATCTGTTACAAAACAAAGCTTATGTGATAGCTACACATATCTGTGGGTATAAGGTCAAGCATTTCAAATATAGTTAGAACTTATGTTGGTTTAGCAAAATGGCAATAATTATGTTTACCTCTTTTGGTCTTTAATCTATCTAGCTATAGGCAGTTGACTAGATTTACAGTACTCAGTTTGAATAGCGTTCTTTTGAGTGAGTTTTAAGTCCAAGAAGAAAGATGTTGGTGATCCCGAAGATAAATATGTCACATTGCAGCACTGTGGATAACTTGCTGGTCCAGTCATTGTTGTGGTTCACAGACTTATAGCTGGGTAGTACTACTACCTTTCCCTTGGCAAAGTGCATAAGTCCTTCCAATTATGTGAGAGCGAGTCCTCAGGGAAGAGACTTCTATGTCAGTTCCAACTAAATTCCTCCATGTCCTATATCTGAAGTATTTGATATCTTCAGCAATATGACCTTATTTCAAATTCTGGGAGGCAACCAAGAACATTTACAATACCCTATAATGCTATGCGGATCTCTTGAACTCCATTAGCCAACAATATTAGAGATGTATTTCATGCCTGATACCAGAATTTTGTTAGATGATCTATGGTTCACAAAGGGGAGCATTATCACTCTGAGTAGTGTAACTTTATTTAACCTGTACATCTATGCATGCATGCACACATGTGCATGAGTGTACACACACACACACACACACACACGCACGCACGCACGCACGCACGCACATACACACGTATTTAAATATCTTACATTTTGTAATGGTGTGGAATATTAGCTACTTTTCTGTTGTCATGATAAAGTACCATAATCAAGTCAACTTATAAGAGCGTTTATACTGGCTTTTGGTACCATACTGTTGGTTAGAGTCCAAGATGGTGGGTAAAACATGGCAGCAGACATGGTTGCAAGGACAGAGAACTTAGAGTTCATAGCTTAAACCAAATACACAAAGTAAACAGAAAAAGAACTGCTTTTGTAATCAGAATGAACACTCTAAGTGACATACTTCCTCAAGCAAGGATATACCACCTAAACCTTCCAAACAGTGCCACAAAATGGGGCTCAAATATTTAAATGTCCAAGACTATGGCACACACTTCTCACTCAAGCAACCCCCATATAGTGATGGAATTTGTTTTTATGTGATTTGCATTTTCTAAAAATGCTAGTGCATTTGAAATTTCTATGAAATTTCAGATGTGGCTTATATTTAGTAGATAAAGTTGTTGACTTCTTTACTGTTCTGTTGGATTTTTAAAAAATTTGTATGCAGCCAGGATGATAATTTTACAAGGATTTTTGTTTTCCTTTCTCGAACATATAATGTATAATAAGGTAGAAAGTTGTACAACATATAGATTTTTTTGAAGAATTTATAATTTTTTGCAAAGTATGAAAAATTTTCTGATTGACATTTCCTCTTCCATTCCTAATGTTTTTTCTCTGTGTCCTGACCATAATCTCAAAAGACTGTACACTGTTTATCTTATTTTTGATATTGTTAATAGTAAATGCATATACTACTTAAAGTCTTATATGAATGTATTATTCAAGAAATTCAGTTATGTTTCAGAATAACATTTCTTACAATGATATATGTTTTAAAATGACATGGTCTAGGAAGAGTATTTTGATGAAGCAGAATGTAAAAGGTAAGTATAAATAGGTACAAGTTATAACTTGAATTAAAATATGTTCAATTAATTTATAAACATACTAGATAAATACATCACATGTCCTATAACATTACTGAGATAGAATAAACTGAAAATGTTTAATCATTTGATTTATAATTCATAAAATAGATTCAATTGTTTCTATATCATTATAGTTTGAGATTTTCTACAGTACAAGTGTAACTATATTTGTTCTACCTAAGTTTGTTTTATATGCACAATCTACTGAACAAATGAGGAAGATTTAATCTCTAATCACTTTGGAACAATTCCACAGAAGTGACAACTTGGCTGATATACATATATATATATATATATATATATATATATATATATATATATATATATATATATATATATATGAATACATCACAGGTGACAAAGGCAAAAGTAAAATTTATTTTTAAAGAAACTAAAATTGATGGTATTTGTGACAGCCATTTATGGTCATCTCTAGTGGTTTTGTGGACTAACAATATTCAGCTGGTGGTTCTGTCTTGGAATCTCTTAGATTATTGTAGGTTTGGGGCTGATAATTTAGTGACCTGAATGCTCAATTGGGCTCACTCACATGAAGTTGTCCACAGACAGCTTGTCTGGGATTATTTCTTGAAAACACATTTTGTGGTGCCTCTGTATGGTTTAAGGTTCATTGAGCATGAGATGATTTTAAGAGGGAATATCCTAAGAATAAACATCCCCCCAAAGGTAGAAGTAGAAAGTAAGAAGCTCTTTATGAACATTTACTACAACAAGCAGATTACTCTTTGTGTGTTATTTCTTTTACTAAAGACAGTCAAATGACCAGACCAAAATTCAAAAAAGAAATAAGCCAGCCGGACGGTGGTGGCACACGCCTTTAATCCCAGCACTCGGGAGGCAGAGGCAGGCAGATCTCTGTGAGTTCAAGGCCAGCCTGGTCTACAAAGTGAGTTCTAGGAAAGGCGCAAAACTACACAGAGAAACCCTGTCTCAAAAAACAAAAAAGAAAGAAAGAAAGAAAGAAAGAAAGAAAGAAAGAAAGAAAGAAAGAAAGAAAGAAAGAAAGAAAGAAAGAAAGAAAGAAAGAAAGAAA